CATTTGAAATCTAATCTCTGTTCTGTCCCTGACAATGATCTCAGCAAGGCTGAAGGAGGGTGGGTAAAGGAGGTAAGTTGTCAAGGGCCCCTTGATGGGTGATCAGCAGAACTGGAATTGAAATCTAGTGCTTTCGACTGAAGGTCTGCACTCTGGAATTCGACTCTGATGTATTGTTATAAGGAATCATTTTGGCACCTGCCACCAATGCTTCAGCAGGACAGACATCCCATGATCCTGGGCTTCTGTCAGCTCCTTCCAGGAGAGCAGAGGCTTCACTGCTGAGGCAGCTCAGTGTTTAAGGAAACACCAGCCTTCGGTTTAGACAAAGACTCCTGTGATCAGTGTGCAACCCTGAAGAAGCGATGGGGGTTCATGAGCAATTTCATACTAATGACTAAGATGATACCATAACACTTACAAAAAATTAAATTCTTCCTCCAGTCTGTGTCTGGGGAGAATCCATGGCACTCTACTGCCCTCATTCAGTTGAAACTTGGCTTTGGATGAAGTTAAAACAGAAGCTCCTAAAGATTAAACAGGGCCCTGAGGAAGGCGGGTTTCACACTCCAGCTAGAGCAGAAACTTCTGCAGCAGGAGGAAGTTGCTGGGGAAGGGGCTTCCCTCTCAGGACCTCTTTACTGAGGAAAATGTGGGAGGTACTACTGGCGGCTTCCTTGTGTCCTTTCTCCTCAAGCCCTTTGCCCAGTGCTCGGGTCCCCTTGCCTCCTGCTCACATCCTCTTTGTCAGGCTCTCTTTCTATGTATCCCTTGGCCTCCCTCTATCTCTCTCCATCCTCACTAAACTCACAATTACCTCCTGTATCCCTCCAAACCTAGCCCAGAGCTCATAGTATGCTCGTCTTGTGCAAGCTAAACAAGGACTCCCCCGCTGATCTACACCACAAAGCCCCTCTTTTCCAGTTCTCAGGAAAGTGTCCTGGCTAAAATCTGAGGCATCTGACTGGGAAAGCGTTGAGGGTGGGGAGAAGGCAATGTCTGTGTGGCATGAAGCATAAATGGCACCTGTCACTTGTGCTCCAGGGTTCTCAGTAGGCTCCTGCAGAAGCAAGCCCCCAGCCAAGACCATGCCTACTTAGCTTTCCACTCCCATCCTGTCTTTTTTTTTCTCTGCTTCTCTTCCTCTGAGAACTGGGTCACTCACTTGCCAGAGTGTCCCCTCTCAGGCTCACCTTCTAAGAAGCCTAGTTTAACATAGGAAATTCTTCTAGCTTGGAATTCAAGGGTTAAATGGAGTCTTAGTGATCATTTGGGACGTCTGTTAAGCGTTCTTCTGGTAGCATCATATCTGTCCCTGGTGATGCAGTGGAGAAGGATTTAGAGAATTTGGTGTCCTGTGGCGAGATCTCACACGGCCTGAGGTAACACCATTACCTAGTGTAGTCTCTGAAGGAGGCTCATAGGGCTCTGTGTGCAAATATCTCAGCTCCCTGTGCAGCAGTAAGACCCTCTTGGCCTCTACAGCACTCAAAGCAGTTAGGGTGTGTGGGCCCTACCTCCCCCATATGATGTTAGGTTTGGCAGGAATGAAAATCCTGTATCTATAGGTAATATTCTGCTGAGTGAAATAAGGCATGTGGTCTGTGCAAGGGCCTCCTATGGAAAGCACAGGTGCCTCATGGCTTTGTCATTGGAAGGAAGGAAGGCTGGGGTGCTTAGGAGCTGGCCCTCATCCCACACAGGCTGAGAGTCTCTTGGCTTCATTCATTCCTTGGAGTTTCTAAGTTTCTGCTACGTTGAGCTCAAAGTACAAATATGAGCTTAACATGGGTTGCCATGCATGTGAAGGAGACGTAGGTGACACAAAACCGTCTCCTAAAACTAAGCTTGATCAGATATGCCAAGAGCTTGGGATGCCAGGTGGTGGAGAGATCTGCTGCAGCAGCTGCCCTGGTCATCTCAAAGTAGACAAAGGGCAATTTCTCAAAGGGAGACTTGATTAGAACTGGCTACCCACATTACCTTAACCTGCATTAAGACTGACGACCGTCATGCCTTTCCACTGTTCGATCTCAGCCAGCACCAGAAACCATAGCCTTATGTCCCACAGTATGTGACTACCTGAAAGTTCTCAATGTGCATAAATAGACACAGGAAATCTGAACACAGTGACACATGAAACTAAGTCAGTACTACATTCGTGTGGGTCAAAGCGTCTTGAAAAGAAAGAACGATGGACAGCAAAATGAAGCCAGAATATATTCTGCACAGGGCTGTGATCTCAGCTAAGCCCAAACAGTGCTGACTAGGTAAAGGTGAGGGTGTTGGTGTGTCAGCTCCAAAGCTCAGAGCCCTGTTGTCCGTACCCACCTAGGCACTGTTCAGGGAGAGGATACAAATGGTGCTGTCAGAGCATGATGCTAGCAAACTTTCAAATCCTTAACCTGTCCCCGGCTCGGCTCTGCTCTCCCACTCAAGAGCTCTCTTCAGATAGTGTCTGGCTGCTTTTGCAACTTGCCTGCGGGGTAAATTGTACTGGAGAGCTTGGCCTGTGTCTGCCCTGCCTGACAGGTGTTTTTTTTTTTTTTTTCCTCATCACAAATGAAAAGTTGCCTCTGTGCTGCGCACACTGAAGCCTCCAGTGAGTTTAGTCACTGTGAGACAGCCTGTGTGAAAGCCAATCTGGGACACTAACAAGGTCAAGTTTCTGGACATGTCAGACCTAGACTTGACTTTGAGGTATGCTGATCCACTCAGATCTCACCCTGGAGGGCCCTTGTGGTCGGCTCTCTGGCCTTCTCCCAGGGGGTGGTCTCCAAACTTCCTTCCCCTGAGAACCGGGTTATTCACTCACCAGAGTTTCCTCTCTCAGGCTCAGTGAAGAGGCAGGAGAAGAAAAGGCTCAGATAGATCAGTGAGGAGTCCCCAGGTGTGACAGTCTCCACGGAGTGAGGGAGAGAATTTATGTCAGCATCTGTGAGCTAGAGATGAGGCACTGGCTGATGACAGCCAGGCTTAAGCCTCAGTGTTCACATAAATGCCACATCCTGGTCTAGTTAGTGCAAACTCAGAAAGGAAGACATACCAGAGGAGTGTTTGGCATATGATAGGCAATTAATAAATATTTGTTAATGGATGGCACAGTCTTGGTCAATAAACATATGAATTGGAGATGCATCTCAGTGCACAAAAGAAATGCTCCAAACAGCAAGATGCCTGCATCTTCTTCTTAGACTGGAAAGCTTGTGTAGAGATTTGGGACAGGCGTCCAGTGTGTGGCAATGGTACATGCTGCCGAGAAACAAACTGTGTGCTCACACACTCTTTTCAAATTTGATGGAATTAAACACAGGAATACGCATCCCCAAATCTTGAAAATACACAGACCATTTCACCTGACAGTTTGAGTAACTGAAGGATTGGAAGGAAGGAAGGAAAGAAGGAGGTCAGTCATTGTTGGAATTTAGAAGCAACCTGTGTCCAGTCACAACTGATGAGCTGAATAAAATACAAAACTCCAAGCGATGGTCCATCACTTGGCCTTCACTTGCAGATGAGTGGGTAACTAACACATTTATGCAATGCAGGTATAGAAGGCAACAGGGAAACTGACTAGAATGTGATTCTTAATTATATAAGATATTTGCATTAAGTGATGTAGGAAAACGGAAGAAATGGTTATTTCCGAATGGTGCCCTTATTGGCACTTTTCTATGGTTTTTGGCTGACTCATGTGTTCTGATTTTTCTACCACTTACAAAGCTGCAATCATAAAATAGTTATGATTTAAAAAATTAAAGTTGTTAAATTTGGACAGTTTCCAAATAGCTTTTATTTGGCTAAACAGAGAGCTATAAAAACGATACATATCAGACAAACAATAAGATTTGCTCTCTGAAGTGAAAGGAGGAACTGGCCCTAGCTGACCCTGAAGAGGGTACAGCTAATAGATTCTTCACAAGGGTGGATCCCTCCAGACACAAAGTTGGAAAGAAATGCCTCTGTTAATGGATTAAAGCTCGTGCAGTTATTCTTTATTATGGAGATAATCAGAGGCTCACCCAAAGAACTGATTTTTGGATAGAAATTTCTTCAAAAGTTCTTAGAAATCAAGCCAGTGTGGAGATCACCAGCAAAGGGATTGAAACCATACTTGGTGATCACTAATTGTTGAAAACCACAGGGAAGGACCTTGGGATCAAACTCATTCGTAAAAAACTGAAGGTCAGAAGGGTGAGGTCATTGACTCCGTAAATTAGAAGAGTCATGTTAAAATCTGAGTGTCTTGATTTTTGCTCTTCCCGCCACACCCTACCATCTCCTTCCTCCTGGCCTATGACCTGTCTGTTCATAGCCAGTGTCACCATGTGTGACTGTGTCCACGGATTATGGTTTCCACTAAGACAGGCATGTCATTGATATCCCACACCAGCTATGAATGCTCTGCAAGCAGGAGTGGTTTGGTGTGGGTCGGCTGACTGCAGTTCAGGAAGGGATTGTGCACAGACATGAGTATTAGGATAGCTTTGCTTTCATGTACACAGCTTTGAAACTTAAAGTCATTCTAAGGGTTAATAGTACTGACTAAACACTCACTGGATGCTTATCAAGCACCAGATATGAGTCAAAGTCTTGTTCGTTCATATGCTATGTGGTTTCATAATCATAACTCTTATCAGGTGTGAGCTCTCCTTGGGCTCAATTAATGAATGAGAATAATGAGGTACAGTGCAGGATAAAGCCTTGTCCTAGGTGTCACATGCAGGGGATGGCAGTTCCTAGTTTCAGAACACACCATCTATTTGGAATCTAGACCTTCAGTTCCCAGCTGCTCAGGACCCCTGCAGTGATGGTATGAGTGGCCGTGCCTGCCATTGGCTGAGATGTGTTGAGCCCATCCCTGAGTTCAGTCTATACTGACCTCCCAAGACTCTCATGTAATTTAGAAGCTGGTGTTATTTATTCCAGTCTAAGCCAGCATCTTAGTTATGAAGCTCGGGTGGAGACCCCCATTTCATCAATGTCTGTGTTCTTTCTAGCAGGTCAAATACAGAGGAAAAGATACCCACCACAGGACACCGGCTGAAAGTCTACACAGGAACTTGTCAGAACCAGGACTTTACTCACCTCTCAGTGGACTCCAGGATTTGTGGTGTGCCCTACCCCGGACAGTTGTGGCTGCAGGAGGTTTTTCCTCAATGACCACTCCCATCTCTGGGTGAGGCTACTATATCATGAAGCCACTTAAATCCCTGTCCAGCTCAGTGTCTGGCTTAACACTACACCCCCCCACACACACACTGCAGCAAGGGCAGAGGCTCCTTCAGCTCTTTGCCCACCTCTAGGTTCCCCAGCATCTCAGCATCTCAGGTTCATGTGTATACACGAGAGCATGATTGCCTTGAGGTATCTTTGAGGAACTATAGGCCCTTTGCAGGGTTTGGGCATGAGAAAAGGCACCTGGAAACAGTGGCATCCCATCTGTGATACTGAGAAACAGCTGACAATGAGATCTTTGGGAGGGGACAGAAGAAGATGGCTGAGGGACCATCTAGAGTCCCTGTGTTGTCAACCTGGGTGCAGTGCAGTGGGGTGTGTGTGTCCTTCCCACTCATCTGTGTGCCATTGGTCTCCGTGTTCCTCTCTTGTCATCCACCTCAGATGTGTTCTTCCTGTTACTCATTTACAAATCCCACCTTCAAGCTGCTCTTCTCCATGGCATAAGTGATCAGTGAGCCCACAAACATCCCTCTACCCTGGGCAAGAGCCTGTAGTACCACAGACTATCAGGAAGCCAAGTATCTCTCTTCACCTTTGCCGTGGTCTCATTAACTTTTCTCTTCTTCCTCAATGGGACACCGCCCACTCCCTGTGCTCCTCTGGGCCAGGCCTGGCCTCCCTCCTGTTCTTCTCTTTCATTAAGATCCCTCTTAGGGAGGCAGCTGAGAGAAGTCAGGAAGCTGAGCATCCAGTGAAAGAGGTTGCTATGAGTTACAAAAGCAGGTGTGGGTGCTGCCACCAGCTCTCCTGGGTTAGCAGGACATGCTTGCTCTGACTTAACACTACCCCAGAAGTGAGGCACCTAAAGCATTTCTCCCAAATTCCTAGAAACTTGGTCCCTCACAGTTGCAAAAGCCTCCAAGGAGGTTGGAAAGAGATACCTGGGTGGGGAAACCCACTGTAAGTGCGAAGAATGAGAGCATGAAGCTGTGTGCTGTGAGCAAATTTCCTTGGTCAAGATTGGCAGTGACGTGGAGGAGAAGTCCTGATTATTGCCTCCTACCAGAGGCAGAGCCACGGCTGCTGCCTACACCTGGCTCTGTGTAAAACTTCAGCTAATGAACTAGGTATTCAAGCTCTCCTTTGACCTGGATTTCCTAAGAGACTCAGGTTGTGTGGGCATGTGGACTGTGTGGGCATGTGGGCTGTGTGGGGGCTTGAGGTCCCTCTGCTTTCCAACCTCTGAGAGACATCTGGTGCTCCTCACATGGCAGGATTTTAAGACATTGTTATTATTATCCTACTCATGTGAAAAAAAAATCTTGCCCCAAGTGTTAATTATTTCTATAAATGACAAAGGTTGATTGGGATCTTTGAATGCAATCCTTGGACAAATGAGTACTGTGTAGACATGTACTACGATCCCTTAGAAAGGCAGCAGCCTGGGAGATGTGAAGCCAGACGTTTGACTAGAGGACAGCTTGCTGAAAGGCAGTCAAGGAAGTCTCCCAGAGGTCAGGAGTGGAGGTGAGGTCCAACCTCCTAACATTTTGATATGACATTGTCATCTACAAATGAGTTGTACCATACTCATAACTGGTCTGGAAGTATGCAGCCATGGGCTGTCAAGTTGGATGTGCCTGCTAGTCCTTGCTGTCTGTCTGTCTATCTGCCCTTCATCTTCCAGGTGTTAAATGAGGGGGAAAGGCAGTGGGATGAACATGAAGTGGGGGAGGGGTGTGTGGCATGTATTGGAGATGCTCAGAGTTAGATATGAGGACATCAGCCTCTAGCTGTCCTGGGCTAAAAACTTACTCACCCATCTTGATTCTTCCCTTTCCTTCACACTCTATGTCCCATTTTCCAGACAAGTGTCAGCTGTACCATGATCTATTGGGGAGAAGGTCAGACTCATATAGCTTTTTGTACTCAGAAAACAATGGCTATCTTCTTGGGCTTTTTGTTCTGTTTTGTTTGGGTTTGTGAGATGGGGTTTCACAAAATAGCTCAGACTGTTCTCAAATCTGCAATCCCTCTGCCTCACCCACTGGATTTGCAAGCCTTGTGCCACTTTGCTCCAAACCTATTTTCTTTGCCATGCCTCACAGCATTCACTCTGTTCCAGCCTCTGTTGTCATCTTTGAATCTGTCTCTCTCTTCCCTCTCTCACACACAGCTCCCCACAGACCAGCCAGTTTGCCCCACCCAGGTCCATCTATGATGTATGTTCTCTCTCCCTGGAAGGCTGAGTCTCCCTGTCATGGAGACCTGAGTACACGGTTTCCTTCCCAGGTGTGCTGGTCCCACTAGATGGTCAAATGTTGTGTCTGGTGTATTATGGGCTCCTTTGTACCCAATGGTACAACGCCCTAGAAAATTGTACATATCTTCCTTATTCACCTGTGTCTGGACATTGGCTGTCTCCCCTCAAAGCAAAAATGAAGGGGCCGTATTTATCCCATTCATCATGTATCCTATACCCTAACCCTGGCATACAGCAGGTAACTTAAGAGATACTCAAGGGATGAAAAAAAAGAGGAAGACCGCATATACATATACCCAGAGAAGGTTTGGTTCTCTGATGTTTTGTATGCGAACCCCACCATGAGGAGAGGGAGGCAGTAGAAACATAAAGAAGTCCCAACTGCTGGTTCAGTCCCGGGAGGGCCTGTGGATTTGGTCATCAATTCCCAGACCCTAGACATCTTTTGGTCTAGGTCTCTTTCTTAAAACACGTGGAAAGTGAACCTCAGGGAACTTAGGGTATCCAGTGAAAAGTACTGCTGCAGATTTGAGCAAGTCTCCTCTGTAATGAACATGTTGCCAGTGTGAGGGTGCTAAGGGCCAGGGCCTTTGGGAGGTGACAGGACCTGAAGCTTTTCCACCAAGCATGGTTCAGGAATCATAATGAAGGGCTTAGTAGAAGGTGTTCTATTGTTTCTCTCCAGCTGCCTTCTACTCCACAGGATGCAGCCCTCACCAGGTGCTGGGGGCTGTGCTTGGTGCTTGGATTTTCACTATCCAGCAATGAGAATGTGCTGTCTGTGGTTTTGGCTTGTCTGTTTTATAAATCACCCACACCATGGTTTGTTATAGCGGTAGATATGGACTGGGGGAGTCACCCAGCAAGTATATTTCAAAGTAGGGATCAGAATCAGACCTCAGCTTCTAGGCAGGGCTTTCTTGCTGCTCTTAAAGCCTTGGGATGGATAAGAATAAATCAGCTTTAATATAAGGCTTAAATTAGAGACAGTCCCCGATATATCCCAAAGTGGTTATTCTCGTGGTAGAAAAGTAGGTGACAGGCTAGTGGGTAGGGTTGGCCTATTTGGCTATCTCTTTCCCTTGGGTGTTGTGTCTTCTATATAGGGGTAGGGGTGGGAGGGTGGCTTGTGTATCAGTGCTTGCAACTCACAGACCAAGTGCAATCTGAACAGCTGTTTTAAGAGGAAATACCCAGAGGACAAGGGCATTATGAAATTGGAGGGGTGCTGAAGATCAGAAATGAAAGACTCTTATTGTTTTCAAGGAGAGATGTACTTTGAAGCTGGTGGTAAGAGACACATTAAGATCATAATGTTGAAGTTGGGGCGGTGAGAGAGCAGACGGCAGATTTGCGCCACAGTCATTTTCTCCAAATGCTGTTTTCTAGTAATAAAGTTGGAGAAGTAGGAGAATGTCATCACTCATGTACTGTGGGAGGGTTTCATCTCAGGGGCTCAAAAAGAGAGGCAAGAAAGGCAAAAGCTGTTCAAGGGAAAGTGGGAAGGTCTGAAAATGGGCCATATTCCCCAGTAGGTAGAAAACCAGAGGCAGCTCTCAGTGTAAGCGGATGGCAGACTGCGAAGAGCCCAAGTGGTTCAAGGAGGGAGAGAGATGCTAGGAGACTACATGGAGAAGATACAGCAGTGTGGAAGGTTCAGGTTGTAGGGAGTGTTCCGGCCTCATACTATCACCAAGGCCAAGAAAACCCAAGTGCAGTGTGGGTGGCAAGACTCGTGTGTTACTTGTTATGAACAGACAAGACATTCTGCGCTCCGGCTTGCCTGTCCAACCTGCTTACCTAACTGTTAATAATAAGAGTAGAAAAAGCAACATTAATTGAGCAATATGGTAGGGTGATTTATCCATGTTCATTTCTTACATCTTTATAAGATACTGTTGGGACAAATAAAACTGTTCCCTATTTCATAGATGAGTAAACTGGGCAGAGAGACACGCATCTGATAAGCAACCATGAAGACTAGAGCCCTGAACTCTGGACCATCAGGTTAGATGGCCTGGCCATGCTTGGGAGCTATGAGCATCAATGGCTTCTTTGCTCTCCTCAGGCTCAGCCAAGAGTCAGCGTGTATGCATCCTCTCTAGTAGACAATCCGGCAGGCAGGAGCTGTCACTGTCTTAGGTGCTGAACCGTGGTTTGTAAGCCATGAAGTGCTAGTGGACATAAAAGAAAGATGTTCTCTGCCTGACTGGTTTTAGTTAAAAGTTTGTTTACAAAAAGATCCTATCATCTCATAGTTCCATGATCTGTGTGGTGTGATTTCACTGTTTGTCTAGCCATTCCAGATTCTCCCAAGTCAGTGTTCCTCTTAGTGTTGATAGTGATTGCAGAGAGCAATTAAATTCAGCACCCATCTCATCTTCACAGCATCGGCTAATGCTTGGTTTGACACTGTGGGGCCCAATCCTATCTAAGTCCTCATATGACTGTAACTAAGGACCCTTAAGATATTAGAACGAACAAAAATGACAACCATTTTTCCCAGAGAAGAAAAGATATTCCATGCAAAGGATTTGTCTAACCTTAACTTACTTTTGTGTGGTGCTTAGAGTCTCTGGACCAGTATTAGAGACTATTCTGTTCATTTATGTCATCTTCCTAAAGTGATTACAGATGGGAGTCAAGGAAAGGGAAGGAGGAGAGGAGGAAATGAAGACAGCTAGAAACAAACAAAGGAAGATGATGCAGAAAGGTCAGACAAGAACAGGAAACAA